ACCTGTCAATCCAATTTGGTCCGAGTTGATTCTCCTTTCCATTTTTTTGCTATTAATATTCTTACTGCCACTGTTGTGTACATAAAGACCTTCCTCAGGTTTTTGGAAATGTCCATACCTATTATACCCAATAGGAAGGCTTCGGTGGTTTTTTACAAAGGGAATCTTAAACATCTTTTTAAGTTCATTGTATATTATGTCCCAAAATTCCCTTATTTTCCTATAGTTCCACAACATATGCATCATTGTACCCTCTGCCTCTCTGCATCTCCAACAAAACTCCACAGAGTTTTCCCTCTCGAGATTTTGTTTTTAAGTGAATCAGCAAATAAATATCTCTGATCAAAAGGTGAAACCCATATTAATGTCATGGACTGGTTAGAAGCAGAGGAATGGTGGGAGGAACCAGCTGGGGAACCCTCAAGGGAAGAAGGCTCATAGTCTGAGGAGTGATGGTGGGATGACTATGAGTTGTTAGAGTGAGAAGCAGGAGAAGATAGGGAAGAGGAAGTATCAGAAGCTGAAGCGGCAACAGGGCAGAGTGGGGGAGTTTGTGGCAGAGAGAAGTCCAGAATCGGAGGCAGAAACTGAAGCAGGAGAGGAGGGAGGCCAAGGGGCAGAGATGAGTCTGGCTAGTGAAGAGTCATGGGTGTCTTCCCCTCCTGCTGTGACAAGCTTCCTTTCCCCCTGGTCTCCCAGAACCAGGAGAGGCATGAAAAGGGTGGAGAAGTTAGAGCTTCATGCAAGTGCAGTCTCAAATTGCTTGGAGAGTATGTTACTTAGGCAGACGTGGGGAAGCGGGGACCTTCAGTCTCAGCAACTGATCCATGGGGCAAGACCTGCTGGAGAAGAGTTGCTGACACTCCTGTGCAGATCCTGTTTTTGCTAATAAAGAGTGAACACCAACTTGCTTGGTGTCTTACTTACTGCTGATTTACTCCTGTCAATAGAGATGGTAGATGATAATAGATAGATAGATAGATAGATAGATAGATAGATAGATAGATAGATAGATAGATGATAGATGATGATGATGATAGATAGATAGAGATCGATAGATAGATAGATAGATAGATAGATAGATAGATAGATAGATAGATATAGATAGATAGATAGATAGATAGATGATAGATAGATAGATGATAGATAGATAGATAGATATATAGATAGATAGATAGATGATAGATAGATAGATAGATAGATGATAGATAGATAGATGATAGATAGATAGATGATAGATAGATAGATAGATATATAGATAGATAGATAGATGATAGATAGATAGATAGATAGATGATAGATAGATAGATGATAGATAGATAGATGATAGATAGATATAGATGATAGATGATAGATAGATAGATAGATAGATAGATAGATGGATAGCTATAGATAGATAGATAGATAGATAGATAGATAGATAGATAGATGATTGATAGATAGATAGATAGATAGATAGATGATAGGATAGATAGATAGATAGATAGATAGAGATGATAGATAGATAGATAGATAGATAGATAGATGATAGAGATAGATAGATATAGATAGATAGAAGATAGATAGATAGATAGATAGATAGATAGATAGATAGATAATAGATAGATGATAGATAGATAGATAATAGTATAGAGGTGCAGCTGATCTGGTCAAGTCCCAGACCTCAAGCCAAATTGGGCTAATTCAAGACAACCTTGGTGTTCAGACAGAATAGGATATGCATTGCCCTGGGTCAGATAGGTCTGCCGGGGCGGGCAGTCAGATGAAACGTTTTTGTTTAGAATGTATTGTTTCAATGGCTGGTTTTATTGACTTTAATTTTATATAAATAATTTTCTGTAATTCTATAACTCTGTCACCATCTATTTTTGATGTTGATATCTATTGACAAATTTAATATTTATTTTATAAGGCTTAGAGGCTTTATTTACAGGTGAGTGGTATGCGTGTTTTGTTAAATAAATTTAGAGAGATAAAAGTCTTAGCTGCAAAGAGTAACTTCTTGGTGGTTTTTGAATAGACCTTTCCAGCTTGCTAATCAAGCGGCTCATGGCCATTTTTGATTAGGGTTGAAACAGACGTATCATTAATGGTCTGAATGCAATGGACATGCAGATTTTGATTCTGTTTGTTGTTATATAAGCAGCAGCTGAATGAAAGCCTCAGCAGCCTTGGAATTAATGGACTTGGAACTGCCTTGGTATTTCTCCTTGAAATGAAGGGTGGTTTGCAAATTCTTTTAATAATTGGAACTAGGGATAGAGGAGTTCAGCTCAGCTCTTGTTCTCTCATGCTGTCCCTGCCAAGGTCCCAATGAAAACTGCCTCTCTGGATCTGCTATTTATTTAGATTTAAATCAGGAGACAAAAGGGCCAAATAGAGAGGCATTTGAATCCCCATCCTGAAGTTTCCGCTCCTTGATGTACAATGTGAGGCCCTGACCAGGCTGCAGAAATTAATCTAAGTTCCCCCACACACACACCTCCTCTTTTCTTCTGAGCTTCATAAATAACATTCTCAAGGTCACTACGACCTGACGAATGAAAAGAAAAAGCTGCATCAAAATGGTGAAATAAAGCAGCAAAATGCATCTGAACGATATCTTGCTGTCGGGTTACCAGCATGATGAGACCACATTTTCCCATAAAATGAGTCAATGCAGCTGAGACAAAAGAAAGAAAGAAAGAAAGAAAGAAAGAAAGAAAGAAAGAAAGAAAGAAAGAAAGAAGAAAGATAGATTTCTAAAAACACAAGTTTCTCCAGATTCCAAACACATGCATGTTTATCCAATTTTAAAGCCCTGTTCTATTGAACATTTCCACATGTGTTTCCATGTGTTTCCCTTTATCACACAAAAGAAAAACCTCTTATGCTGCAAGTGCTCCGTGCTTACAATATTAGCAAAAGGATGTGGCTATTCATGGGCCAAAGATCAGCCTGTTTGGATGTGGATTGGGCCCTGCTTATCAAATGATGTAAGTCAAGGACCGGGAACCTGAGGCCCAAAGGCCAAATACATGTGTCAGTGACCACTGATGAGTGTGCACAGGGGGGCTGACTTGGGAGTGTGGGCAGCAGTTTGCGGAGACCTGTACTAGCCAGAAGGCAAGAAGGCAAAGGAAGCTTCAGAGCTGGTGGGTGGAGCACAGAATGGGTCAGAAGAAGAGGGAGGAAGAGGCATGTCAGGCAAGTGAAGGTGCTTCCCCACCCTCTCCTGCACCACCGCCTCCAAGAACCAGGAGGGAATGGAAAAGGGACGAGCAGAAGTTTCCACAGAGGCTCAGGCTCAGGTTGTGGGGGGGGGGGAGTACATAAATTGGTGGATTTACTGCAACTGCTCCGTAGAGCGTGGACCTAGCTTCTAGCTAGATAATCAGTCTGAGCTTGGTAATAAGCACTCCTAGCCACAGAAGCCACTTGAGACTCCAGTGACAATTTGGAATAGAGGAGATGATGAATCTAGATGATGAATCTATTATCTATTCCTTCATGGGGGAGTGCAGCCCTTTCCATGGCAGGTCATGCACATAATTCCTGATCAAAGGAACCAACCATCAGCAAGACTTTTGTCTTAGGCAGATTCAGCCTCAGCTTATTAGCCCCCATCCAACCACTTCACTGCCTGCATACAGCAGCCCAACACCTTCATAGTCTCTCCTTGATTCAGACAGAATGTGCGCCATCAGCAGGCAGATCCCAATGGTTTTGTAGATGTTAAATAACATAGGAGATAAAATGGATCCCTGCAGGAACCCACAACTCAAAAGTCATGGTGCCGAGCAACAATCTCCTAGCTTTATTTTCTGGGGTCAGCCCTACAGGTAGGAATGGAAGCACTGTAATACACCCCTCCCTCATTCCACAAGGACACCGTAGCCAATAGTGTCACATGTCATTGAGAGAGCAAGAACAAACAGGGTTGCACTCACCCTGTCTTACTCTGACTTTTTAGCTACAGTGTGGGGTAAAAATGCTGTAAGTTAGTAAATCTGCCCAGGGAAAGATAAATATCCATAACTCTGTGTATCAAAGAAAGAAAGCAACATAATGAACTTGACAGATGAATGGTTTCCTCCATCATAAATGGTGCATTCTGCATGAGTACCCAGTTTGGTGTGTGACTGACAGCTCTGTCTAAACTTGCAGAAATGGAGCTTTAAGACAGACAGAGCTGTGGCTTTGCTGTGACAAAGGAACTATAGTTAACAATGATGTCTGCATTTGAACAGATATCGGAATATGTGCAAAACACTCATTTACAGAACCAGCAGGGGGTCCCTAAGGAAAGCAGCAACAGAGGAGATCCACGGAATGACTTGGTGGCCTGAATGAGAAGATGAAATGGTTTCCAGTCAGCGAAAACTCCCAACACCAGGACCTCTGAATTCTATTATGAGCTTCAAATGGCCTATATAATGTCAGAAGCTTTAGAAAGATGAGTGAGGTTCACATCAGGGATTTGCCCACAGCCTGTTGCATTATAAAAGCCCCCCCCCCCCCCCATTAGTCACTGAGTTGATGAGGCAGTGGAATCCTTCCAATAAATAAATAAAAAGAGACACTGACTATAGATATGGAAGTAACATTAGCTAACATTTTTATCAGTTCCTCCATGTTAATGCTCTAGCTGCCTGAGGCCATGATTAGATGTTACCAAAGCTGGTCAGGTTCTTCAGCCACATTCTCCAAAGCAGTGCCAGGAGGGAAACTTTGAAGGGGATAAACCAGTGGGTGAGACAGTTGTTTTCAAACTAGGATTTGAGGCCCATGTCTGTGACAGGCCTGAAGCCCCAGATATCTATAGGTAGGGTGAGGGGTGGCAAATATAGAGGGCAAGAAGAAGGAGCAGCAACTACAGTTTGGCTAAATAAAGTCAATTTAGGAACATGGGAAGCTGCCTTATACTGAATCAGACTATTGTTCCATCTTGATTAGTGTTGTCCACAGGGATTGGGAGCTGTTCCCAAGGATTTCAGGCGGGAATCTCTGCCAGCCCTACCTGGAGATGCCAGGGACTGAACCTGGGACCTTCTGCATGCAAAGCAAGTGCTCCACCACTGGACCATGGTCCTTGTCATGGTATGAATACTTGCAGAGGCATGATCGGCTTTGAAGACAATGGGCAACCCAAGTAGATGTTTTAAAATGGGAGCAATATGCTGCTGCTCCCACAAACACTCCATCCACCACACTTTGCACTAGTTGCAACTTCTGGACCATCTTCAAGGGAAGCTCCATACAAAGCACATTTGAGTAGTCAAACTGGGAAGTTATCAGAACTGGGGTGGCCATAGCCATACTTACCCAGAAAAGGCTGTAGTTGGTGTACCAGCCAAAACATGACGTAGTTACTCACTGATGCCACCTGAGCAGAGATAGTTGTAGGAAATTCCCCAAACTTCACACATGCTCCTTCAAGGGGGATGCAACTTCATGAAGAACAGTGTGTTCCACATGCTCCTGAACCTGCGAACTGGTCATACATAGTGCCTGTCTTATCTGGATTCCCTTAACTTTGTAAGCCCATACCCAGCCAGGCACCTGTTCAGGACCTAGATTTGCACTCGGAACTCACATTAGAAATCAGAACAGGCCTTCTAATTTACCAAAGGCATCTATTTTTCACCTTTTAAATGCTTGCACCAATTTTAAGCTGCTGGTTTTAAATTGATTTTATGCTGGTTTTTAGTTGTTGGTTTTGTGTGCCTGTTGGTGTGTGTGTTGATTTATATTACTTACAATTCATTTTTATTGTTTTAGAATTATTGCATTTTGTATCTTAAATGGCAAACTGCTCAGAGGAGTTGGTTGATGGCCAGTATTTAAACGCAGCAAATTAATTAATTGGTAAATTGTTTTTTTTTAAAAAAAAATCATCACTTTTTAAAATAGCTTGCCTTCTCACCTCAACCATGGATGGATGGCAAAATAAGGAGGCAGCATTTCATGAGAAAGGAACTATGCAGTCTCTGCGCAAATGCAGAATTGAAGGGTTGTGGGATTCTATCTGTTTTTATACAGCAGACCTCAACGTGCTTCAGCAAATACATGTCTGCTTTAACTTGGGCTGAAATCTGTTCATCAACAAACTTGTAACCCAAAGGAAATCTTCAGGGATTTCAGATTCATTTTTCACATGTTCGGTTACATTTGCACAAAGCCCACCACTGTTTACCCAAGAGGTGCTACAGTGGTGTTCATTTCCTCAATTAAGCCATGATTATGCCATTTTCAAACTGGTCTGTGGGTTTTAGCTGAACAGAAATAGATACTTTGTACTACCAGACAAGTAGGTGGCTGCCTTTGCTTTTCATCATGTATAACATCAAGAAGGTTGTCCTCAGAGGCATAAGCAGTCATTGGAATATCACAAATGGAGTCTGGAGAGATACGGTAAGTCCTGATAACTTTTTGGGGAGCAAACTGGACCAAGGCAGTGCAAATTCAGGAGAAAGGAACAGAGGGGTTTGGTCTTTCCTAGCTCTGTGCTAGGTTTTGAGTAGCTAGAATGTAGCCTACTTAACATAAGAGCCTGCTGGATCAGGCCAGTGACCCATCTAAGTAAGCATTGTGTTCTCACATTGTGTTCTCACAGTGGCCAACCAGAAGTACTAATGAGAAGCCAGCAAACAGGTCCTGAGCTCAGCAGCATTCTCCCAACCTGTGGTCTCCAGCAATTGATAACTGTCCAATCCATTGCTACACCTACACATTTGCTTCTGGCAAGAAACGACCTCTTCCATACCAACCTTTGTGTACACTGAGGTCATCTATGGGGGTTTTCCCACAGTTGAACCTGCCACCCAAGGTAATGCTGGCAGTGACACCCAATTTGAGAAATTTCCTCCCCAGCTATATCTGTCTGGCAATGACCCAGCTAACATGTTGGTGCCAGGTCTTTAAATGTATTTAAACGCATCTGTTTCTCTCTTTCTCTTTCTCTTTCTCTTTCTCTTTCTCTTTCTCTTTCCATGTTGCAATATTTTATCTGGATGCTTTCTCTTTTTTCTTAAACCGCCTTGAAAGCCCTGCTGAAGGGCAGTGCACAAATCTTTTTACCTGAATAAATAAAATAAGCCAGCAGATATACAGCATCAGCTGAAATCACCAAATATTCTTTGCTCTTGGAGTTCTCAGGAGCCATGACACATCTATTTGGCACAGCAATAAAATTCAGCTGGAGGAAGAGACCCCTTTCTATATAAAGAGAAAGTCCTTTCATAGTGGGGTTTGTTGTCTTATGATGCTACAATTAAAGATGCTCACTCTAATATATAAAAAAAATACAGGACATCTGGGAGCCTGACAGGCCAGGCCTGGTTCAACAGCCAAGCAAATTGTGACAGATCTGTGTGGAGGAGCTAGCAAAGTGGAAAGCGAAGCCAGCTGGGCAGCTGGTAAGCACAGAGCAGGGAATGGATTGCTGCAGGAAGTGGGGAAGGTGGTAAGGGAGTGTGATATTTGCTGCTGCGAACTTCATAAAACGATGCTATGGGAGACTCAAATGTGGAACAAATAAACTTGGCCAAACACTGAGTGATTCCTACAACAACTGCTCTCAGAAATGGCTACTAGGTGAGGAGCTTCCAGATGACCTATTTATTGAACATTCATACTGATTTATTTGCAGGTAGATTAGATGGCGCTGGCTCTTTGTGCAGCAATCCTTCTTTTATTTATTTATATTTCACAATGAAAAATGGATCGACACATGCTTCATAACATTTGCTGGTTACACTTTTTTTTTAACAGCAGAACAAAGACACAGTGTTGATTGATGCTTTCTTGAGATGTGTTGTTTCAAAACATGATAAGCAAAGACCATTTTAACCATAAATCAATTAGCTTCACTTTCCTAAGTTCTCCTATAATATGTTAATCAGTTTAATCAGTGTTACAAGAGACCAAATTTCATTAAACCAGTCTAATAATGCTGGGATATTGTTCTTTACCCACTTCTTAGCAATGCAGACCTTTACTGCTGTCAATGAATTCATGACAATCCCTAGGTCTGCATTTGAGACTGTGTTTCTTAGAAGTTATATTTTCGGGGGGGGGGGGGGTCATTCTTATTTGTTGCAGGGAAGTTAGATGATGTTTCAACAAGCGTTATCTCACATTTTCCAGGGCATTTTCCGTAACATGAAAAGTCAAATCTTCATATGCAAGATCAAGTATAATTCATTGTCCCATCTAAATTTTCCAGTACGTAGTTGATTCCCATCCAGGAAGAAGATCCTACTGGATCTCACCTACCTCAGCATCCTGTACTAACACAAGTCAACTAAGATGCCTGTAGAAGGCAGGAGACATCACCTTGCCAACAGAGGTCCGTATAGTTAAAGCTATAGTTTTCCCTGTAGTGATGTATGGAAGTGAGAGATGGACCATAAAGAAGGCTAATCGCTGAAGAATTGATGCTTTTGAATTATGGTGCGGGAGGAGACTCTTGAGAGTCCCATGGACTGCAAGAAGATCAAACCTATCCATTCTGAAGGAAATCAGCCCTGAGTGCTCACTGGAAGGACAGATCCTGAAGCTGAGGCTCCAAGACTTTGGCCACCTCATGAGAAGAGAAGACTCCCTGGAAAAGACCCTTTCCTGTTGGGAAAGATTGAGGGCACAAGGAGAAGGGGACGACAGAGGACGAGATGGTTGGACAGTGTTCTCAAAGCTACCAACATGAGTTTGATCAAACTACGGGAGGCAGTGGAAGACAGGAGTGCCTGGCGTGCTCTGGTCCATGGGGTCATGAAGAGTCAGACATGACTAAACGACTAAACAACAACAAGAAGGCAGAACCTGAGCTCAACAATACTTTCCTCCTCCTGTAGTTTCCAGAAATTGCTACTCAGAAGCATGCTGTCTCCAATGGAGGTAGAACACAGCCATCAGGTTTAGTAGCCATTGATAGCCACGAATTTCTCCAATCTTCTTTTAAAGTCATCCAAACAGTCTTGAAGCACCCTAGGTTTCTCTGCTGATGCTCCCCAGAATTGCTTCCTTCCCCGCTCCATGGAACATGACTTTGCTTCTCCTATTGTCATTACAGCCTTTTTCTTTCTGAGGAGGACAACCCAGCAAGGCTCCCAGGAGACTCTGAAACTTACCATGGCTGGTGTTGTTTGTTTGCCTGATCCTGAAAGAAGCCATACATGAAATCAGTGCAGTAAATAGAAAACAAGATAGACAGCAGACTATGAAACTCCAGCCAGCCCTTTCTTTCCAGTATATGATTCAGCAATGGAAGTGGTGCCTTCCTACTGGTGGTGGGAGTGCTGATGCTCACAAGGATGAGGCTGGAGGAGTGGCAAGTTGGTGGCAGCAGCCCCACAGGTTCACTTGCAAGATGTCAAAACTGCATATCCAGAGCTCTCCCAACCTCACCACCACCTCACCCCATTCTGGTAAACACATCTGTGGGTTTTTTATATTATCAGGGTGCTTATACGTGATCACAAGTACAATTCCAATTGCAGGGTGGGGGGCTTGAAAGAGTTGTGATGGGTGGGGGTTGGATAAGGTGTAGACTACAGGGGCAGCAAACGTTTTCAGCAGGGGGCCAGTCTACTGTCCTTCAGACCTTGTGGGGAGCTGGGCTATATTGGGGGGGGGTGATGCAAGAGTACCAAGAGCCCCAGTAGCTGCTCACCTGTGGCTTGCGAGTGGCAGGGGCTGGCGGCGGAGGGAGGATGAGTGGTGCATGAAAGGGCTCCGGAGAGGGGCTGCTTAAAATGGCAGCCGCTCGAGCACTGCTGCTGCTGGCACCAACAAAGCCCAGCCCCCTTCCTCCTCTAGGCAGGGCAGGGAGAAGCCAGGAGGAGGGAGGGAGGAGGTGGAGGCGGCACCGCCGTGTGAGGGAGAGGGAAGAATGCGTGCACTGGCAATCCACGCGGCGATTCCTGGGCCGCCCGTGGGCCGGATTAAGAAGGCAATTGGGCCTGATCCAGCCCACGGACCTTAGTTTGCCTACCCATGGTGTAGAAAGAGGGTCTGTGGCATAGGTGCCATCTTGCACCAAATATTGTGGGTGCCCGCAATGGAGGGCTTCAACTTTGCCCATTGACTCTGGGGGTGGGCAGCCCCCACAAATATATTATTGCAGGTGCCAAAGCACCCACAACCCCCTGGAGTTGGCTCCAGTGGTCTGTGGTCTGTGGGTAGGCAGGGTTGGTAAGAACAACAACTTAAATGGAAAGAGACAGGCCTGGGCAGGGGGGGCAACTTGAATAAAATAGCCCTGTTGCACATAATCACAATACGTGGTATGAACACATCATTTGAATGGAAATGCCCATCAACCTGGGGGGGCGTCAAATAGTTTATTGGGGGGGGGGCAAAGGGACCTCGGCCTCTAGGAGTTGGTTCCTATGGACTTGGGTCAGCTCCAGTAGCGCTGAGGGCAGGGCCTATTTAGTTTTCACAGTGGCCAGGCAGATCCCAATGAGAAACCTGCAAGCAGGACATTAGTTTAACAGCGGTATTCCCCACTTGTGATTCTCTGCAATCAGCATCCAGAGGCAACATGTGGCTGTTGTTTAAAGTGCTGTTTGCCCCTTATCAAAGCTCAGTAACAGAGGACAACAGAGAACTGTGGTAATTACTAATAAGTCTGCAAACAAGAGACAGCTGAGGCTATTATGGTAGCAATAAATACGCAGGTTACAGCAAAAGGAACAGCTTAACTATAGCAAGCATTTACACAACAAAATAATTAGTCATTTCACATCTAAAATTTGCCACATGCAGAGCATTGGACAGTGGAGACATGGGAAGAACAGGATTCTTCAAAGCCAAATAGGAAAACTGAGCCAACAACAAAACCAGGAAAGCAAGTTGCTTTCAGACATTCAAACCGGAGCATTCATACTGACCTCTTTGTGCAAAGTCTGCAAGGAAGCTGGACCATGTCATCTATTTACAGAGCATTCATTCTGGTTCATTTGCAAGAAGGTTAGACAATAGACTTGTCCCTGTCTGAGCATTACAGTATTTATCTGCTAATTCACTCCCTCGCCACTCCAGTAAGATCAGAGTAGTCCATACCTGAATGTATTTGCATTTGATTATAAGGAGCAGTTTTGCTCTTTCCCAATCATACTGGTAGGCATTCCCCTTTGTGTTTGCTGCTCCTTCTAATATCTTGATTCGATTACACCAATGGGGCATGTGCACAGATGCTACATGCACACCTTTGCCGGTGGGGGTGGGGGGAACCAGGCACTTTTGCAACTAAAGCAGGACAAGAACTAACTCAGAACATTTGTGGTATAAGAACTTACAGAGTTTTAGCAGGACATACACCTGCTGTAAACAAAGCAGTATGACCACCCCAAAACATTTATAGATGCAAATGGAATTGTACGTGTGATAAGCACCCGATAATATGAGAAATGCTCATGATGAATGCTTGATAAAAAGGGACATTTAGAAGGGCCCCTTGTGGTTGGATTTCTATGTAGACAAACTATCAGACCTACTTCTCTGGTTCTCTAAATGAGCCGCAGCACATAATTTTGCACAACTGCAGTGTGGGTTGTGGTCCCATCTGCTTTTACAGTTTCCATGTAAACAATACAACCTGTCTTGGGTTATGGGCTCCTGTTTCCCAAATTAAACAGAAACTGATATACTTTAAAACCAAATTGAACAGATTGCTTGTTCCTTATTGGAAAATGAAGGGATGATGGTTCTCGGCTAGAGGTTGTCATGGCAATGGGTTCTAATTTGGGATCAGCAAATATTTGGGAACGTTTTCCGCTGATAAATATGTTTCTTGTGACTTTTTTCTTTCTTTCTTTTTTGGAAATGCAATCACCCTAGTTACTTTCTTCTTTCCTCCTTAGCAACACTGTAAGTCACTGCTGTATGCCTGAAGATCAGCACCTTCTGGACTAATTATTGGATGCAGTGCTCTGCACAGTGTTGTCAAGAACCTGCTGTCATGGGGGGGGGGGGGGCAAAGTAGAGTGGGGCCAATGCAGCCACAGTAGCTCAGTGGCAGAGAACCTGCTCTGCATGCAGAAGGTTCCAGGTTTAATCCTTGGCATCTTCAGGCTGGGCAGGGGGAGACTCCCTTTCTGAAATCCTGGAGAGCCACTGCCAGTCAGTGTTGACAGTAATGAAGTAGGTGGCCCTATGGTCTGACAGTATAAGGCAGCTTCCTATATTCCTATGGAAGAAAAAATGAGACACACGGGGGGTGCAAATGAGCAGCACAACAGGAAATACACAGGGGGATGCAAATGTGCAGTGCAACAGGAAACACAGGGGGACTCAAAGCGGAGCACCTTCGGCTTCCCCCAAAAAGTTTGAAATCTGGAACACCTGCTTCCGGTTTTGCATTGTTCAGGTTCCAAGTTGTTCGTGAACTCAGCTGTTCAAAAACCGAGGTACCATTGTAAAACCATCATTGCTATATTTATGTTCTAGGAGGGCGTTGTGGTATTGGGCTTGAGAAAGATTGTGCTACATCAACTCTGCAAAGTAGCTCAGTGTTGCTGCACTAATATTGATAGGAGTTGCTGAGAGAGTGCAGAGCAGGTCAGTGTGATTATCCAGTCTTTTGGTGTGTTGGATTCTTTTTTCAGGGAAATGAAGTTGGAGAAGCCGTTAAAGGACCCCTGAACAGTTAAGTCCAGTCACACTTGACTATGGGGTGCAGTGCTCATCTCTGGTTTCAGGCCAAGCGAGTCAGCATTTGTCCGCAGACAGTTTTCTGGGTCATGTGGGCAGCATGACTAAACTGCTTCTGGTGCAAGGGGACACTGTGACAGAAGCCAGAGTGCATGGAAACGCTGTTTACCTTCCTGCTGCATTGGTACCTATTTATCTACTTGCAGTGGCATGCTTTCACTGGCTACTAGGTTGGCAGGAGTGTAGGAGCATCGGGGGAGAGGAATTGTCTTCTCAGTTTGGAGGGGAATTTTTTATTATTATTATTTTTTGCCAGTGAATTCTTTATTTGAGGAAGCAAGCCACAGCTCAGGCCTAGTGGCCTCAGCAATGCTTTCTAGGAGATCTCACCAAAATGACATAGTTGTGAGGACTGAAGGCCCAAGAGGACTCCTCCTCTTCTCCAGGGTCTTTCCCACATAGTCTGCACACAAGCACCCTCTGCTCTGGCCATTTCATTTCTCTGCAAGTTCTCGGAGACCAGGGAGGGAGCTGGTTATATCAGAAGACAGAGGATCCCTGGATTCTTCAGCAGCCGGCCTCCACTCTGCCTATTGTCAAACCTCCACTCCATCCTCTGATTCTGCACTGCTCTCTGCCCCAGCCTCTTCCTGCTCACCAAACCCTGTCACCTCTCCTGCTGCCGACATCTCCTCCTCCCAGTCTTCTCCCTCTGACCACTCATTATCATCCCGCCACCTCTCCCCTGGCTGTGAGCCTTCATCATCATCATCATCATTTTTTATTTTTTAAAAGAGTTTATTTATTTTCAATGCACAATCATAACAAAAATTACAAACATTGAATCCAAAATAATACTATACAAACAAACAAAACGGAACATACCAAAAAAAAACAGAAAAGAAAAAGAAAAAAAAGCAAAGGAAACAAAACAAAACTAAATAAAAACGAAAAAGCACACATCTACAGAAAAAAACCATATCATTACATACATTTACACATATTGACTTCCTTCCTTTGTTCTAAGACCTCAAAAAATTTACTCTTACTATATTGTTGTGTCTGGTTAGATTACTTCCATCTTTGTACTTTTTTTTTTTTTACACCATTTTTTTTCTTTAACCCATTTTTTTTTCTTTAATACTCAGATCCACAAATCCAATTGAGGGGGATTTGTGGATCTGAGTAGTTTGCTGCTGTAAATGTGTCGAATACTCAAGCCCAATACCACAACTCAAAAAGCTCAAAAAGCAGAGGAAATTGTGGCTGCTTGACCTGTGCTGACATTGCTGTAGTTATTATAAGGCATAAATAAATAACCGCAACAACTGCTCTTAGAATGCACTTCTTGTTTTATAACAATTTACTCTTGAATTTATCCAGGCATGGACATCTGAACTTTGATTGCTGTAAATCTTAAAAGGCTTTTCAGACATACACCACTGCCACCATCACCACCTGAAACAGCATACTAGTTTTCACACTGAATTTTACAAGTCGAAGATAAGCTGACAAAACATAACTTGACAATTCATGAAAGCTGAGTTATATGCATGGTTTAGGATTGACATTGAAGGAGAGCAGAATTCATGTCCTTATACCAGTGATGCAGAAGACAGAAACAGGTTTCAGATCCAGCACTCAGCCATGAAGCTCACTGGATGACCTTGGGTTGGTTACCTCCTTTCAGCTTAACCTGCCTTGCAGGGTTAATATGAGGATAAAATGGGGAAGTGAAGAACAGTGTATGCCACCTTGATCCTTGGAGAAAGGCAGGATATACTAATAATGATAGATTGATAGATAGATAGATAGATAGATAGATAGATAGACAGATGATAGATAGATAGATAGATAGATAGATAGATAGATAGATAGACAGACAGACAGACAGATATAGATATCCATGTATGATCCTTGGGCTACTTGGAGGAACAGTGAGGTATAAATATAATAATGAATTTGATGACCCTGGGTTCTAGCATTAGGAGAGATGGAGGAAAATTTATCCCTGCCCACTTTCTCCAGATAGTGCATCTTTTTATAAACATCTTACTCTGCCATCTCCCCTCCCCAAACTCACCATTTTTCTGAGCTAAAATGTCCCAGATTATATAGTGCTGTTCTCCAGAACTAACATTTTCCTCCTGTGCATCAACAACATCTGGAACATTTCTTCCTTTGGCCCAGTACTTTCAGAGCGTGATGTTTTTCCCCTATTCCTCTCACTCTATTTCTCTCAGATATATTATCTGTGTGTATGTGCGTGTGTGTTCCTTTAGACAGTGAAAGTGTCTGAAATCCATGAAAGGATTGGATAGCAAAGTCTCCTGCTGTGTGGGTGGGCAACTTCTTTCTTTCATTCTCTCTCTCTCGCTCTCACGTTGCTCCAATTAATGCTCTTTCCATCTCTGTCTAAAATCTGTCAATCCCCATTTATAGAAGCCAATGGGATGTGTGTAAGAGCATTTTCTGAAACAAATCCACAGGAAAATAAAATTGGTCTCAGGCTCTTAGCAACCCAACTCTATTTGAGAATGGGAGGAGTTGCTGGGGAGGGGGAGTACAAGGACCTTGATTTACCCTAGAATCTTTCTGTTAGAAACCTTTTAGAGTTGTGGCTTGAAGGGATAGTATAGGGATGGGGAACTTGTACCCTTCCATACATTGCTATGTTCCAACTTCCAGCAACCCCAGCCAGCATGGGCTTATGGGTTTATGGGAGCAGGGATGCTGCTATCATTAGGCCAACTAGACAGTTACCTAGAACACATATCTCAGAGGGGTGCAGTACCTTTGAGGGGCACAATATTATACAGATTAGTTTTGGTTATATCTGGTAATTTTCTGTTTATATTTTATATCTTGGAGAATTTTATCATTTTTGAAGTAATCCATACATTAAATAATTTTTTATGTATACAGGCAACTCCCCATATGCATGCGGGTTGTGTTCTGGGTCATTGCATATGTCAGCAGTCACATGTAAGCCTGTTTTGCCCCTGCAGCCTCCCGTTCCACCCCTGCCACCTTCCAGGGCTGAAAGTGATGCATGCGTCAGCAGTCATGCATCAACTGGCAGCGTGCAAAATGGTTGTTGCCTGCATTTGAAATAGACAGACCATCGAGTTGATTGAAGGTTATGTAAGACACACACACACACACACACTTTTAAAAAAAAGTGAAAATGAACTTAATTTTAAATCTTACAGTCACCTCTTAATCAGCTCAGCACCACAAACAACAGGAGGAAAAAACTAAGGAGCAAGCAGGTGAAGGACAACACTCTTGTTGAAACTAGTACTGAGGAAGCTGGACAAGGGGCTTCTACTACAAATAATATAAACAGAAGTTTCACAAATTAGAAGTTTCTGGAAAACATACAGAGGAGGATATCGAGGAAAGTGACAGTACTGCAAAGTCTTCTAAAGAAGATGGTATTGTGCTTAACTGGTAGTAGCAGGGGATGTCGGCCCCCTCAATATTGAGGGGCTGGGCCCCCTGGTTCAAAATATTGAGGCGGCTGGGGCCCCTAGCACCCTCTATACCCAGCACCTTTGTGCCTTTTTGAAAGAAACGTTTCTTGGACAACTTGATTACCAATCTGTGTGGTCAAGGTTATGATAATGAGAGTAACATGAAAGGCACAATGGGGTACAAAAGAGCATCCTGGACATAAACCCACATGGGGTTTTTTGTGTGCCCTGTGATGCACACTCTTTAAACCCTTTGTTGGATGCGCCCCAATTACCATGCAAATCCCACACTGCTGTCTCAAGAGGTGAAGAATGAGGAGGGAGTAGTCTAAGCACAAAGAGTTTAAGTCTTCCTTTGGGGGGGTGAAGGAGGGGGATGCTTAAATTTCCCCTCATGTGGTCACCACATCATAGCGGAACCTGCATTGGCTTGCACTTCAGAGTAATTAAGATCTGGCCATATTACATGGGGAGAAGATGCACATAAGCATCTGAGAGAGCACTGTCAGCCAGCTGCTAGGATCCAGACATCATTAATGTTGCTGTGGTTTCCCCTAAGGTGCCATAATTAATTGCTGTCAACACCATGGTCAGAATTAACAGTGAGCTTGTTCCAACTAATTCTGCACAGGTGCAGCGGCCATCTGTGTCCACAAGGAGACTAAACGGAGTCATTTGTTCCTCTCCCACTGTGCTAGAAGGTTCAGAGTTGGTCCTACTGTGGGGTGAGGCAAGGCAAGCCATGGCATGGCAAGGCAGTGGATTCTGGCTGCTGTTTAGGGCGGCAGAGCAGGAAGCAGGCAGGTTTATCATCTGTCATTAGGTGCCAGCCATTGGGAAACTATCCTGTGTGAGGCCCATTTAACTGGACACAGCTGATTAGAGGTTGCACAGGAGAACTTACCAATGGACCATGCAACAAGTTAATTAGATTAGAGTTTCAACCA